TGTCCAGGGCGTAGGGCATAGTGCACGCTTGCGAAAATTACGTGTGTTTGTTTTTTTTAAACATTTATCTCTGGCAGGAAAGGAGAACTGGGTGTGGGTTACAGGTTGAAAAAAGATGAAGCTTTACCTCCAAAGTCCGGCCGCAAGCGAATGTCATATCCTTTGAGCAATCTGTCCACTGTCTCTTTCACGTATGACATGTTGCTGGGCTCATTGGCGCTGAAGGGAAGAAGTAGGGACCGTATTGAGAACGAGCAGAAACTGCGAGCAGACATGAAAACAGACAGGCACACCTACCCCAAATAACAAGCGACACGACCCGGCAGGCGGGGAACGCGACCACCGGCAGGAGGAAAGAACGCTCACCTGTGCGCACAACAGACCATGGCAATCACCGCCGGGAGGGAGAGGAGCCCCAGCCTCCCTCGCTTTTGCACTGTCCACATTACTAACTCTGATTAAAGAATTGTCTTTTCGGCGAAGATTCAAGGAATGCAACTTAGTCGGCGGCAGGGCAGTAATTCCCGAGCGGGCTGCGCATGCGCAGGGAGCGCTCGCTGCCAGGAGACACCTTGCGCCTCGCAGACGATCAGCGGAGCAGGCAACAGATTTCAGCGCCGTCCAGTTCCCGGGCGGTGCTCGCGGCGGGGAGTCGGGGCCTGCCGTCTGCGGGGGTCCTGCGTGCGTGCGTGTGCACAGGGACTGGGGTTGCCGTGCTCCTTTCCTCTCTGCCCTCAACCTGCCTTTTTTTTTTTTTNTTTTTTTTTTTTTTTTTTTAACTCAACTCGCAGGCAACTGGCTAAGGCTGCCTCTGATTGGCACCTTTCGTTAACAGTCACAGCGGCCCTGGAGCTGGGAGCCTGGAGACGGGGCGGTTCTCTGGTCTCCAGTGTGAGTGTGTGTGTGTGTGTGTGAGTGTGTGTGAGTGTGTGTGTATGTGTGTGAGTGTGTGTGTATGTGTGTGTATGTGTGTGTGTGTGAGTGTGTGTGTATGTGTGTGTATGTGTGTGTGACTGTGTGTGTATGTGTGTGTGAGTGTATGTGTGTGTGTATGTGTGTGTGACTGTGTGTATGTGTGTGTGAGTGTATGTGTGTGTATGTGTGTGTGTGTGTGAGTGACTGTGTGTGTATGTGTGTGTGTGAGTGTATGTGTGTGTATGTGTGTGTGTGTGTGTGAGTGACTGTGTGTGTATGTGAGTGTGTGTGAGTGTATGTGTGTGTGTGACTGTGTGTGTGTGTGAGTGTGTGTGAGTGTATGTGTGTGTG